CGCGAGTTCCGAGTCCAGAACTGGGGCGTGCCTCGGAGGGCAATCCGCTCGGCGTTGGACTGAGGCGATGAGGGAACTCCCACGTGAGAGAGTCGCCAACGGTTGGAGCCACTCCCACCTGCGGGAGATCACTGTACTGAGCAATGACGTTTCCTTGGCGTGTCAGAATAACTTCCCATGGTGAAGATATGTGGTATGTGTCCACACCATGATCGAATCCGGGATGAGTGACCGTAGACACCTATAGGGAGTAACAGGGGCAGAAGGGGTGGGAGTTCGCCTCTGGTTGACCCCATACGCAAGTGGTTGACCGTACACGTTTGGCGGAGGTCTTTCGAAACCAGCCATCGCGTAGTAGCATGGACACTGAAAGGTGATGGTTGAGGGCGAGGAAGGGATCAGCTGCAGCGGCGTTGGCGGCTGGAAGGGAAAGTGTGAGGTCGATGACCCAAATGCCGCCCCTAAGTCTGTGGCAGTAGAAGCATGTGCCTCCGGTCAATTCAACAACGAATTAATTCCTCCGATGACCCCAATTCGGAAGCAAAGTCGCCAGAATGGCCCTCCGGGCTCAATTTTCCTTCAATGACCCCTTCGGAGCGGCGTTAGGAAGGCATTTGCCCTTCTGAAGCTGTAAAAAGGGTTTTGGGGAAAATAAAAACGTTAGGGGTCCTGCTAAAGCGCACGATGACATTCACCCAAATGCACATATATCAACCAAATTTAGAGCTACAAAAAAGCGGGAAAAAGAAGTAATGAGCACGCAGTAGATGAGAGTGCTTTTTTCTCTCTTTCTCTCCTTATTATTGTGATGTTTCTATCATATTATATTAATCTACTACTTGCAGGACCCCAAATTTGCTCAATTGGCATGGGTGCCCTATTTTGGCATCAGAAGCGCAAATGTGTCCCTAGCACCGCACGCCAGAGGGGTCATCGAGGGATATTGGGCCCTGAGGACCATTCTGGCGATTTTGCCTCCGAATTGGGGTCATCGGAGCAATTAACTCCCTCGGAAAGTGTCGCGCATGAAATACGGGAGTATACGTAAAGGTCCCTATCCCGTCTCTTATTACTTGACCACCACCACGAACCACTTGTACAACATATTCATATTCAATGCCAACCCCACCACGCTCAGGCAGGTCAACTGCGATAGAGAGAGCGCAGTCAGTAGCAAGCACTAGCAGCAGTGTACGCCCTTTACGCCCAATATGCAAGTACGTCAATAGGCGTCGTGGGTGCCGTGCCGGCGAGGCGTGCAAGTTCCGGCACAGCGAGTTGGAGACCAAGAGCCCGCATCAGGCGAAGCAGACATGTCGTTATTATGAAGCAGGTGAGCACTCCTCTACTTCAGGTTGAAGTAGCGTGGTGCTCATGTCTTCCCTATGCAAAGGTTACTGCAAGAAAGGCGCTGAATGTTGGTATCGTCATGCCAGCCCCCCACCAGCGGCACCGGAGGCAGGTCCTTCCAGCCGCCCCGCTGAGGCGACTCCAAGTGTCGCAGAGAGCAGAGAAGAGGAATCCAGTGACATAGACGACCTTGCCTGCATGATCTGTTATGACACGCCGAGCCAGTATGGCCTGCTATGTACGTACCTTTCCACTCAGGGGCTGAAACATATTGATGGCTCTGCTACAGCTGGGTGCAGCCACGTATTCTGTTTGACATGTATGCGCGGGTGGAGGGATGTGAAGGATAAGGAGCTGTCGATGCTGGAATCGGGAGTGGTCAAGGCGTGCCCAGTATGCAGGGTGAAGTCCCGATTTGTGACGCCCTCGTCGCAGGTGAGTCACTGTCGTTACTTTCCTCAGTTTCGGTTCATATACTCTTTCAGTTTTACCCAGAGGGTCATCCCAAGAAGCAAGAAATGGTGGCGGCATATAAGGCGAGCATGGCACGAGTACCGTGCCGGTACTTCGCAAGTTCGCTACAGAGGAACCCACCACGCCCATATTGTCCTTATGGTCGGGAGTGTTTCTACGAGCACAAGCTCCCGACAGGAGAGGTGCATGAATTCCCACATGGCGCGGACTATTACATGACAGTGCAACGGGAGCGGACACAACGGCAGCGACGATCCCAGTTCGGGCGGAACTTAGAGCTCCTCACCGACGCGGTATTCACTGCCGGTATGGCTGGACACAGTGGTGCGGATATCCGGCGTGAGTTGGAAACCGACGGATTTTGGAACGAAATTTTCGCCGGCATGGGCTGGGATATAGAAACGCAAGGCCCACCAGCTGGAATTGAAGGGCCACTACCCCCGCCACCTGGTCCAGGAAGGAGTTTTGCTGAGATGACCACGATCCGCCGTCTGCTCTCGACACTCGCCAACAACCTCGATGGAAACTACTACGATGATGGTGACGATGACGAGATCATGCCAAGCTTCCAGATGCTCCGTCCTGCTGTTACAGAGCGGGATCGGCTCGTCCGTGGGGTCGCAGAGATGATCGACACTGCGCGGGAACAGGAGCGAGAACGCGAGCATACCCGTACTCCGCATAACTACTTTGGACCCAGACCACCAAGTCCGCATCCCGTAGCGGCACGTAGCTCACCGGCGAGCGAGAGTGGTCGTGCCGATCCTACTGAACGCGAAGCTGAGCGGGAGGAAGAAGAGCAGCCTACATCAGCTCGTGCGAGATCGAGCTCAAGGAGATCGAGCTACTACGGGCCGAGACCACCCAGTCCCCACCCTAGCGCTGCGGTGAGATCAGCACCCGCAAGTGTACATGGAGGGGACGACATGCTACCATTAGACATCGAGACGGACGAGGAGGAAAGCGAGTCGGAGGAGGAGGAGGCCGAACACGACGGAGCATCGGCGGATCGCACGACCTGGGAAGAGGTGCGAGCGGCCAGGGTCCGGCGGTTTGGTGCTCCTGCCCATGTTACACTTGAGGAACCGGCTCCTCCGCCTTATTCACCTCGAGTGTCTATCGTACCGCATGGGGCGGAAGTTGCTCAGGTACCTGCGGGGGGATCCCGCCAGAATCCGAACCCACGCCGCGGACGGAACGCAGACTTCGAATCGTCAGAATCTGAGCTTAGCGACGGGAGTTATGAAGATGAGGATAGTGACGAAGATGATGGGGAGGAAGAACTATGGCGCGGTGCGATTTCGGCTGCCCTCGGTTTGCGAGGGGGCGAAGCGCAATTCGTGCTTTCTGGTAAGCGTGTGACCCTTCGGTATTAGGAGCTATGTTTGACCTCGGGCTTGCCTTTTACAGCCCCTGCAGCGCCCGTTCACTCGTCATTTGCTCCTCAAACGCTCGAGCAGGCTCTCCATTTGCAGGACGATATCCGTGCCCGCATTCGGCTAGTACCTGATGGGGCAGCTTCCCGCCCTGTAATCCCCGTCCCACGCATCGCGCGCTCTTCCCGCGGCTCACCAGAATATGGATTCTCACTACATCCTGCGGGCGTTCTAGCATCTTCATCTCGGGGGGGCTTGAACTCGGCCGGTGCCGCGAGCTCTCGCGGCGGTGTCCGTATTGTGGGCAGTCCGCCCAGACCGCCTTACATGTACACCCCTCTGTCCGAGGATTTGAGGTCGGACTGGGGACCGGCTGCTGCGCACGAAGATGACCTCGACGAACACGGCAGCGCGGGGGGCGCGGCGTCTAGTGGGAGCTTGGCTTCCCGCCTGATCTCTGGTTTATTTAGGCGGGACGCGGGGCAGGAGAGGCGAGCCGGGTGACGCGGGATAGTGGTGGAGAGGGGGGGTAGAGTTGCGGAACTCGTGCAGGATCGGCATGTTAGATGGAGCGGAATGGGGGATGTTGGTCAGCCTGGCGTGGGTAGGGATGCGCCGATATGTTGGATGTGTAGGATACCATGAGGACACAAGTGTACATTGACCAAGCATAGCAACAAGAGTTTCCTTACACGCTCCGACCGTGCAGAAATGCCTTCCCTCGGCTTCCTGATTAGATCATGGATCGGCTGGTCGGAAGCGACGGTGAATCGACCAGACAGCAATCACGGATTGTCGGGCGTGCAGACGTAGGACCCCAAGAGGGACTTCATCCTCTACAAGGTATACCCGGCACAAAAAACGACCGAAGATTGGTGGTCCAAACCGTCGACACCTCACTGGCAGGTATACTTCTTCTCGCTAACGATGCTTCTCTCTTGCTTCCGCGAGAAGTAGACAGAAGCCTTCCTCCATAAGGTGAATCTGGCGCCGCTAGAATTTGGTGCGTCACCACCCTTTTCCCTGGTATTCCCACTCGACACGTTGAATCTTGGGAGGAAAATCTGCACAACTGGCACATTCCTCACCCGACAATGTCCTCCCTCTGGGGGTCAGTAGCATGAAAATCGTACGATTGTGATAATCTAGTAGGGACGAACAAGATCTTATCGTATCAGTTAACGATAAGATCGACGGTATATAACCCAACACCAGTGGAGATCTCAAAAATCCAAGCTCGCCTCCTTGTTCGCTTCTCTCCCTCTCGGACTGCGTGGACGCGATCGACATGCTGTCTGCCCTCTTTGCCTTTGCTGCCCTCACGGGCGTTGCTCGTGCTGCTCTTTCAGAACATTGGTGGAACATCTCCTATGCGTACACCAATCCCGATGCCATGTTCGAGCGTCGTGTCATCGGCATCAACGGCACTTGGCCGTAGGTGGATCCCATTCTCCTATTGAGCTACTAATGATAGTGCTCTCTCAGACCACCGCCAGTCACGGTTAACCAGGGTGATCAGCTCATCATCCATGTTACAAATGGCCTTGGCGACGCTAACACTGGTATCCACACCCATGGCATCTACTTCAATGGGTCAGGTTATTACGACGGCGCGGTCTACATCACTCAATGGTACCTACTCTTATTACATCGATGGACTGCCTTCTAATATCGGATCAGTCCGATCCAGCCTGGTGATACTCTAACCTACGAGATCCCCACTGATCTCAACACCGGCACCTACTGGATCCATGGTCACTACCGCGGTCAATATGTTGATGGCCTCCGTACACCTTTGGTCATCAACCCCCCGACCAACGCATACAACTATGACGAGGAATACACCCTCGTTTTAGGAGACTGGTACCATGATCAACATGATGATCTCCTGGCCATTTACATGAATCCTTTCGACCCGACAGGTGCTGAGCCAATTCCAAGTAAGCTGCTGACATATGCACGCCAACTTGGCAACTCATGGCTATTCTTTTAGAGGGAGCTATTGCATTCGTCGCTAGTGGAAATCCGTTGCAGTACATGGACAGCAATGAGGAGATCGGTGTGGGTACCGGTGTCAGCTCTGCTAACAAGACGGGTGCTATCCTTAACTTTGAGTCTGGTAAGACCTACCGCATCCGGCTCATCAACGAGGCTGCTTTTGCGATGTTCTACTTCTCTATGGCCGGTCATACTATGCAAGTCATCGAAGTCGATGGGGTATGTGATGTGAGGCATACCATATCCCAATGTCTTACGTTTATTGTCGCAGACCGATACAGAGCCTTATGCGATCGAACACATATGGATAACGGCCGCTCAGCGTTATTCCATCTTGGTCCAAGCCAGGAATGATACTTCCCAGAACTGGCCGATCATGATGAATATGGACGGTGAAATGTTCGATAGCATTCCTGATGACCTCGTGCTCAGTACGACAATTCATTTACGATGGATCGTCAGCTGACCTGATTATAGACATCACGGCTCATGTTGTCTATGATGCTACTCAGCCTCTCCCCGAGCCAGAGTTCTACGACAGCTACCCCATGTGGAACGACACCGTATTCACCCCGCTTGACGTTCTGCCTAACGTACCCGCCGACCAGTCCATCACGATGAACATCTGGTTTGAGGCATATACCGATGGCATCAATTACGGTTCCTTCAACAACATCACTTTCCGTATGCCGATTGTTCCGTCTCTCTACACCCAGTTATCCATGGGTAGTGCGGCCACCGACCCGGCTATCTTTGGTGCACAGACCAACGCCTTTGTTTTGAACCATCTGGACAACGTGGAGCTCATGTTGTACAACTGGCACACCGACAACCACCCCTTCCACTTGCATGGTCACAAGTTCCAGGTCGTTTACATGTCTCAGGACGTCATGTCCGATGATCCCACGATCAACCCCCCTTTCAATGAGGTTCAGGCGAACCCAATGCGGCGTGACACTGTCATGGTTCCTGCTGGAGGTCTTGTCCGTGTGCGCTTCCGTGCCGATAACCCGGGTGCCTGGCTCTTCCGTAGGTCTTTTCATCTTCCTTTGTCATCAGGTATTCATGATGGTGCCCAGATTGTCACATTGAATGGCATCTCGATGCAGGTCTTGCTGCCGTCTTCATCGAAGCCCCGCTCCAAGCGCAAGCGAATCTCCAAGTACCCCAGTCCTTCCTCGACTCGTGTACTGCGCAGAACATTCCTTACACCGGTAATATCGTCGGATTGAACTCTACGACTGACTTCGACGGCGAGCCCTATGGCCCCTGGCCGCAGGAGACCATTTTCGGCTGGACAAACAAGGCAATGGGTGCCATGGCGGGTTGTATCATCGCTGCTGTGATTGGCTGCGCGACTGTCGTCTGGTATGCTATGAACCCCTTCCAGGACGACGAGCGCGAGGAACTGGCCATCGCCGAGTTTGAAAAGAAACAGATGGCTGGTGGAAAATTGGGATTCTTCAAGAAGCTCGTCCCAGGTAAGAAGAACGAGTCATAAAGATGGTTACGTAGACACGAACCTAGCATTGTGTACGATATGTAGTTGCTTGCACCTTTTGTTTTCACGATCTCCAAAATGACAATCTAGTTACTCTCGTTATCTTAACCGTGTTCTCTGTTCCGTTGTTCACATCGAAGTGCACAAGAAAATCTGTCGGAGGTGTCGTCTCATCTATTGTACCACATATTCAATCAAAACACCACTTTATTTGTTGAGGTTGTGTGGCGCAATCGGTTAGCGCGTCGAGCTAATAAGTACTGTCAGGCTCTGAGCAAGTGTCTTTCAGGCACTCGAAGGTTGCCGGTTCAATCCCGGTCATAACCAGACATTTTGCTCGCGTGTCTATCATTCTTTTCTTTTATAAGGGCGTAGGCCCACTCTTTGTCCTCTATGGTCACAACTAGCTCCAACAGCAACTTACAGGCGATGGTCCACCAATGTGGTCACAAGACTTCTTGACCAAACAGAGTCATGGTCTACCGTTCCACATCTTTGATAACCTAAGGAATGCGACGTCTTGAAATATGCTTGGGCAGCGCCCTTCCCATTGAAGGTAAGAATGATAGAAGTGGGAGTGTATGGACTCGGAGGACCTCCAGGGTAGTGCACGGAATTGCTGGGATGGGTGTCGTGTATATTGTGACAACGAATGAGATTCTGTCTGTGGGGGTTTTGACGGTTGTAACTTATTTCATGGTTTCATTGTTGACTTATGCCTAGTGGCCCTCCCCGCTCTCCTCAGTGTTCACTGCAGGACTCTCTGCCGAAGCCTCATTCAAAGCCTTGATCGCAGATTGCGGTGTATCATCCTCATCTTATCACTCGTTGAGAAAATGAGGATATATAGACCTGCAGGGTCGTGAGACTGGATGGATGAGGGGTTTGAGCCAGAACCAGACTACGTGGGCCGTGTTGATCCACAAGCCTTCAAGTTGAATCCTTTCCTGTGACATTATCAGCACTTGAACATCGCCACACAAAGGTACAGACACAGAAGGAGAAGCATCGGTCGTCATGGTTGTCTGCATCCTGCAAGACAATCAATCAAAGTCTCAGGTTGGACAAGGCTTGGTCAGTCGTTTCCATCCGCTTCAGTCGTGGAATCCGCCTTTCCAGTCGTGAAAAACACAGTGAAAGATAAGGAGGACGTTAAGGTACCTCCTCTTCATGCAAGAACTCCAACAAGGAGGTCGAATCTCCGCAACGTTTGCAGACCCGGTTGGGAAAAATGATGGGCGAGTCCCATGATGGGAACGCCGTCCCCGACAATGGTCTGAGTACCATGAGCGCTTTGGTCATCGTGTCAGCGTAGGGTCAACAGAATGGTAGAGGGGCATACTATGCCGATATTCTACCACGTATATGGATGCGATGAATGATGAGTGCAAAAAGACACCCTAAAATGTATAAGAAATTGTTCGGGTCAGGAAGAATAGACGTTGCCATTTCGAGTAAGAAAGCACGAGAAGGACAACGAATGTTCAGGCACCACTTTATCAATTCACTCTCCTCAGTGGAGACTGAACATGGGGAACAACGTGGTCCGGATAAGGATGGCGTGATGTAGATACTGCATGAAGACCGAGAGGTACTCATGTCAAGAACCTATTTTTTGAGGTGTCATTTCATGTTTCAAATGCAAAGATCATCACACACCAATGCAATGTATAAGATTGTTCGATCCAGAGCAATCAGCCAAGTCCATCTTCTGGCGATGCCGACCTGCTGGCTCCTAGGAAAGCGCTTGCACGGATAGAAATGAGAGGATCGGCAACCGAGACAAGGCATCGAGCCTCCGATACAAAAACACACACGTCAAACCCAAGATAATATAGAGAGATCCCCGCAATAACGCGGTGAGAAAACAGCTCTTCTTTGCACTGAAAACAACCCGAGAGTTCAGGAGAGGATCGAGCGGAGAGCGCGGTGGCAGGCCAGCCCGTTCGTGCCTCATTCATCGAAAGAGCTATCAAGACGCGTGCAGTGGCCGGGTTACGGATCAAATGGTGTATCCGTCGCTGTATGAATCATTTGGCGAGCCAGAAGACAGGCGTGTCGAACGTCGAATGCGGGCAAGCGCGTTCCGGGACAGGACTAGTGATTAACACATATATATGGCGTGACTCCCAGAGATGTGAAAAGGAGAAGAGATTGGATGAGTGTGTTTGGACCGAAACAAATGTCAAAGACGTTGCTCGACATGGAAAGAGGCGAAAGAGGATCAGGCGAAAGTTTCCCAAAAGAAAGAAATTCGTTTCCCGCGTCAGGGTCAGGCCCGACGCCCGATTTGATTCTTTCGTACACAGCCCCCTGCATTTAAAAGCACCTCGGCATTGCCCGCGGTACAACACTTTTCGCACCTTCTCCTGTTTTCGAAAAGCTCTAATCGCAATAGCTAAACCTCTGCTTTCTTCTGCCGTCTGATGCCGTAAAGCAGTTGTCCGAGGATTCGTGGCTCTACAGGGGCTGCTTGCGAACATCTACGAGTGGTGTCTGAAATTGGCAATAAACATAATGCCACGTATGTGATGGGCCAGATCATGCACCTCAACATCTTGCGTTCTTTGCGGGTTCTCAGGTCGCCTTTCACGGAATCTTATCGCCCGCTTGGAGCTCAGCAAACTTAGTCATCGACTTGTCAACTTGGCATCGAGCACGCAGCCATTCAAGAGATCCGTCTCGCCGACGATGATATGACAACCAGCACGTCGAATCGCATGGAGGTATGCACAGATTTCAACTTTTCTATCGAAAGTAACACCATAGGAAGGCTATACCATATCGTACGATGTTTGAGCGTTTGCGTGAAGAGTATGGGTCTTTGGTCAAGGTATGCGGCCTGGATTTATCCTTACAACTCCCTCTCATATCTCCCAGATCAGTGCAGCGCATAGACGCGTTCTCGCCGAGGATCAGGCAACGTTAACACTTCTGGGAAGGGAGAGGGAGTGAGTATCTATGTCCTGCTTGATACTCCGCTCATTTGGTTCCAGTTACCTTCTCGACATTCTGCACACGTATCCGGACCTCATCCCGGCCGTGAAGCAAGAGCTTCGTCGGTCAAGCTCCCCGCCCGTCTCGAACGTGTTGACCATGAGAACAAACTATTCAAATGCAAGCAGTCCTCCTATCTCTCCCATCTTGTCAAGTTCACCACTGCCGACTCCGGCCAATTCACTGGCGGTCATTCCTGAACAACTGAAGCAAGTTCATCCATCTCGACCGCGTGCAATTATACCTACTCCTCAACAAATGCAGACGCAAGCGAGGCGGCCAGTTGCTCCTATGCCCTTATCTGTGCCGCTACCAGTTCCGATAACATCGAACAATGTATATGCGCCCTTAGCTGGTCGAAAACGCCGATCTCCCCCTAGTCCACCCGAAGGTTCTTTTCCGCTAGATATGTATCCCCCGAACAAACGAATCTCAATAGGCGGCGGTATCAAGGCAGAGGAACCGGCCTCGCATCTCCCGATGACATACCGCCCCTATCTTACTGGCGGCACAAGCCAACCACAACCGTCACGGCCATCGACTTACAGCCCCCCACCTCTTCCGCCTGGTCCGTTGCCGCGTCGTGCTCTCCCAACGGGACCTTCGACGCGACAGTATACGGTCCCGATGAACCACGCCCTTGATGGATCCGGCGCGCTCGGACTGCGAGGAGACTACCCGCACTCCAATCCAATGTATGCACCACCTGGTGTAAAGGAGTACAGCATGGTATGTATGATTATGATTAAGTGCTACAATGTGTTCATCTAACAATGATCGTTGTACAGCCCTGGTACGAAGACCGAGCCCCATTATTCCCTACGCATCCCAGTCATCACTATCCGCAAGCGTCGATCCCGCCCACATATACTGGCCCAAACTCACCCATCCAAGCTCGGCGAACCCAGCCTGGACCTTACGACACCTCTTTGCTGGCGGATGACCCGCATCGTGAGATCTCCCCCGCCGATGTGTACCCCGATCCTCGCACTGGCTTGTGATGATCTGATAAAACATCTTCTTTTGTTATGCCTAAAACTCACCGTGCGCTTTCAATGCACGGTATAGGAGTGACGTGTGCCGTTGGATAATGAAGGCTGGCGAACAGATATCACGCAAACCTAGTGCACACGTGGCGCTGGCACAATGGATGTCCATTTAACCCAGGCATCTGGATGCTGAAAAACGCCCCCCGATCATCAAAATACCGATTTTCGAGAAGGGTCTCACTCTGTTACCCTCGTCCGGGCTCGGAACTTGCCCGAGCCTGTGTGAATACTGACATTGCGAGTGCTGATGTCCAAACTTGGACAGAACGAATGACCGGGGCACCGCAGACCAGAACCCGACGGATGACGCCAACCTTGAGGTATTCGCATGTCGACATCGAGTGTCTGACAGCCCTGAGTTAGGCATTCGTCATGTGCTGAAATGGTCATATTCATCAAGAGTCCGGTATTTGTGGTCACGATGGATTGCGGGCCGCGGTTGGGACGAGCAGAAAGGGTCGCTTTTAGGGCTTCAGAGGTGTTTGGGCCAAGTTAGTCTTCTTGCTCCAAGGAATGTTGGCTGGTTACACGCTGAGACAATTTACGGGAACCGGATAGAGCGCGAGCAAGCTTTCGATCTCATGTATTTGTTTCCGCGCTCTTGGGTATTCTCTGTCTATCACCGGCGGATCATGGTCCCAATTGCCCCTACAACGGTATTGCTCGTCAGTTGACCAGTGTTCAAACATAACGAACAGCAATCCGCATACCATTCCGGAATCTGTCAAACTGGCAATGCTGCTCTGAATCTGTCCTTTTCAAACACGAATCTTGACTATGTTCACCAATATATATATGCTCTGTATATGCTGGCGTTCTGTCTGCAACGGTGGTCTGCAACGCAAACTACTATTCCTCTGCTCAGCCGCTCTCTAACTATCAATTTTTCGTTGAACGATAAAATGCCTTACACTCCACCTGGAATCGTTTCTGTTCTCAACTCGTATCCAAATCATCCGGCTTACTTCGAGAACCTCGAGGACTTTGAGGTGTACTTGAAGGATCTCCCTAGGCCCATTCCTCCTCCGGCTTCACCTCTGCGTCCTAGGATTAATCATCTGGGTGACAAGGGCAAATTATGCGTTTGTCATGATATGATGGGAGGTTACCCCAACGATGCGCACAATCCCATGTGGACGATGAACTGGTGGGCCATTGCGGACACTTTCATATAGTATGTTCACGAATCTTGTACTATCATACCTGCTCACAACTGTTTTTCAGCTTTTCCCACCACAGAGTGTCTCCCCCTCCTAGGCAATTCATCAGTGCGGGTCACAGGCAAGGCTGCAAAGTGCTCGGTACTCTGTGAGAGGGCTCTGTCATGTCAAGCTGGTCTGTATTGACGTTGCCTGACACAGCATCCTCGAAGGGGAGAGTGACCGTTACAGAGTATTGATGGGGAATGACACTACTTCTATCAGCCCGCAGACGAATAACATCTCGAAGAAGTATGCCGACCATCTTATCGATCTGTGCGAGCTGCGCGGTTTTGATGGCTATCTGCTCAACTTCGAAGTTTCCTACGAAAACTCGCATAATGCGCGCTTGCTGGGTGCCTGGGTCGCCTATCTCACGTCCGAATCTCGTCGACGCCTTGGTGCTGACCGATCTGTAATCATGTGGTATGATTCCGTTACGGTCAACGGCAATCTCCGGTGGCAGAACACATTGAACCAGCTCAATTCGGCCTTTTTCATCGCTTCGGATTCCCTGTTCACGAACTACAACTACTCCAGCGGCACTATTCCTACTGCGAAGGAGTTCCTCCAGAATCTCGTGGAGGATACCCGGCCCAAGTCTGACGTATCGTGGGGCATCGACATGTGGGGACGAGGCACTTATCAAGGTGGCGGCTATCGAACCTGCCTCGCCTTGGATACCATCCAGCCCGGACTTCCCCCTCAACAACACGGGTTCAGCGCTTCTCTCTTCGCTCCAGGCTACCTATGGGAGAACGACACTCTGCAACCCCACGACAGGCCTAGCTGGTGGGCACGTGATACCCTCCTGTGGGCTGGCCGTGCCACAGAAGCCAAGACGAATGAAGCTCTGAAGAAGCTCAACACTGATCCAGCCAAGCAATTAGGACCAGGAGAAGTTTTCCATCCTCTCAAGAAATACTTCCCCTTCCAAGCCCAGACACTGCCTTTCGCGACAAACTTCTCTCTCGGTGCAGGCACATTCTTCAACGTGCAGGGGCAGAATATTTCGTCAACCTTGCGGTGGACAGATCACGAATGGGTCGCTCCTCTACCGGATCTCGCGGTGCCAAGCACGGTCAGCGCGTATCAACTCCCTGGCATGACTTTTACCGGAATTACTCTCCCTGTTGCTCTGGAATGTGAGTGGATTTCGGATCCTGGAAAGGTCTGGACGGGAAGCCATAGTCTGCAACTCTCCTTCGTGAACCAGCCGGTGGTTGGCACTATATCTGTACCCTTGATAAGTGTTGACCTAGCTTCTGGTCCCGAGCATGGCTGCGTCATCATGTTCGAAGTTACCTGGTATCTCGCTAGCCAGTTGCTGAACACGAGTGTGGAGAACCTTTCCATCTTCCAGGGTGACAAGTACACCAGCTCGTCCTACCAAACGGTCACACAGAAGGCACCCGAACGCGGATGGTTCAAGACCACAGCTTTCTTCGACAACCTCAAGGGTGTAGTTGGATTTGGTATCGACGTCAACTTTGCTGGAAGAGCCGAAGCCCCTGTAGTTCTCGGCGCTCTCAGCGTTACAGCTGTATCTGGAAGTGCATCAGGCAACGTGTTCACTCCCCATATAACCTACATCGATCCTACCGATGTGGATATCCAATTCGACGACAATACGGAAGCTGCGACGTTAATCTGGCGCTCCAACATCAGACCTCCTTTTGGGCAAGGTTCGACCAATGCCAACCCCGCCTGGCCTACTATTCCTCAGACTACACTGAATGAGGACGAAATCATCTACGAAGTGACGACCTCCCTCGTCGCGCCTAACAAGACCACCCAGTCTGTATTGGCATGGGGCACGACATCACTGGGTCGGCAAACGGTTTCATGGGCTGATCCGACAGCTCGTCAGAAGATATTCGACACGGAGGCGCAAGGTGGCTTCATCGCCTTCAAGGTACAAGCCCTCAATGGATCGGGTTGGTACGCGGGCTCGGCGGCGGAGCTGTCAGCCTCCTTCAGAGATCGGAAACGTTTGCATTGATCCTGTGCGAACGGAACAAACCGATCATACCGGTTAATAAAGTCAGGTAAAGATGTCTTGTGTTCAGACCGGTAACGCCATTTCGGAAATACTCTGTTTGTGAAGAATTAACTTGAATTAACGAGAGCCATGCTATGCAACAATTGAAGATGTGAATGTTTGGAGTTGGACGGAGGAACGTGTCCCCTGACAGTATGGTTGTGAATCATCTCGTTGCCCCTGCGAAACACCAAACCCTCATGGGGCTGCATCCCAATTCTAGGGTTTTACATAACATGCCGTTACTGAATATATGCAAGATCATGATAGGGAATTTGATGAGCTTGATGAAAGAGCTGGGACATCGCCACGGTTTCCGACATTGCACAGCCCAGTAAACGTGTATGGTAAGGTCGGGAAAATTGGGTGTGAGAAGTGAATGCATTGTTGCACCCCTTGTCTAAATTTGCTCATGAATATTGTCGAAGAGACCTGTTTCATCTTATGATTCCATCAGAGGGACGTGTCTAGGTGCTCCTTATCTCCGACAGCAAATAAAGGCGCCACACACTTGGAGTAAACATAACAATTTTGGCTAGTGAATGCATAACGACGGCCAATATTCTCCCGACCCGTGACGTACAATCACAAGGCCGGAACCATCGTCGAGGTGTTCTTCGATTATGAAACTAGGGTGGGGCAAAAGTGACAACATGCAACGTACACTTATTGTACTGGGCTTTATCTGCCACATTTGACGAACTATTCTCAACATCGCTCACTTGGTCGCTTCGCTGCCAGCAGTGAAAGTAAAACATCTCTTCGGGATTCGGGCTGTACCGGGCGCTGAGCCGAGAAAGAACATAATGTATTGATCGCCAATTCAAAGATAAGCCCGATCATCCGGGAAGTCGCAAAGATCCCCGTTTGTCGAGTTAAGTGGTACAGGTTTTACATTGGCAGAAGGTCTCATGTCTTCGTTCAGGTACTGGTGGGGTGTCCAGTGAATGGTCGAGGACACATGCTCTCCGTCGTTCACTTGTCGGCCCGCATGCGCACCGTGCCCGTGGACCTGGGAACCGCGCGTGCTTCCTTCTGAATGCCTCCGAAGACCGGAATGGAATCGAATGGGCAAAAGCGGTTGTTGCTTCTGCATCGCCACCGAGGTCGGAATGCGGCTCCGGGCCGTGCAAATAAGGGCAGCTTCTCGGCAAAAGTTTGTTTGTAATGATCACCACGAAAATGGCGGCAGCAAAAATAATAATATCAACTTGCCCAGCTGACAGTGCCAGGAAGCCAACGCCAGGGTGTGGCACACCAACTCCGCTTCAACAATCGCCGCGTGAAAAGCACGGAGGTCCGCTTCGGGCGAACCCCGGGGTGGGAACGAACGTTGGATAAACCGACACGCTTGGCCTTGTGGGACTGAGACAACGCTTGTGCCGCTGCTTGACAACACAGCACCGAGCACCTTGACCCGCTCCTCCCTTCCCCGCTTCTCATTTGCTTCTTGCCCCGTTCGGGAAGTCCTAACCCGGCAAATTGCCCTTTCGGCGGGGTTTATTCAGATGAGCCAAATCTGTGGTGATTGACACCCAGACCGTTGACACCCATCGAAAGATTAGTGTTGCAGTCTACCAGCGATGACGATTGTTGACGCAGATGCCGTGAATCGCCATTGGACTTTGTTCGGGCTTTGTAATTGTTCGCTCAGCGCCAGAAAGAAATTCGCACGTGGGGAACTGATGAGAATATGCTCGGCTGTTGTGATGCAAGGGGGATTAGGTGTGGCGGAAGGAAGTCCCGACAGATGGCGATTGCCGTTTTGGGCTGCAAGGCTGATGGACGCTGATAGCCTCCGGGCTGGCGTGTGCTTGATGGTGAAAGAGCAGAATGAACAGGAAGAAGCATGCTGTTGTCTGTTGTTTAAGCGACACATGATGCGTGATCGGGGGCTGGGTGGAATGGCGGATTAGCCTGGACAGCTCATGCACCCGCGAAAGGCGATAAGTTGAGAACATGGATACGGGCTCTTGTGGTAAAAGGCGAGGAAGCAAGGGGTAACCCCGTTGGGCCCCCCAAAGCCGCCGGCACATCCTGACGTCCGGCGGCCGAGGGGATACAAGGGCGCGTTTGCTGTGCGCGACGCCAGAGTAGTGCGTGTCGGGGTTGAAAAGGCCAGCATGCCGTTATTGAGGATGTAATTTTTTTTACTCTCTGTCTCGAGTTGGTCAAGATGATACGAAGGGGTGGGAGTGGGAGCGGGGGAAGGGAGAGAGAGACATTGTGGAATAGGCCGACTGTCGGCCCCGATGAATCACGCCCTCGGAATGGAGCGGCATGTGGCGCACCAGGGGCGGGGGCAGAAATGTAAGGGATTTTTTTGGCAGGAGAGAGGTTGTGGTCAAGTGTTTGTCGCACAAGGGGCATTCAACTGTTGCCATGTGTGACGGTCGGGAGTACGATTCTGGCAGCGTGCTATGCGATTGGCACGCTCTGTTCATCAGCGACGCAGGTGAGGAGATTGATGGAGATTTGAGAGAGAGAAGGTGGGATTGTGCCAGCGAGCATGTCGTAAGTTGTGCTCGGGAAGGGTGAGGAGATAGAGCTGGGTTTACGGACGTATACTGATTGACCCCCCCTAAAGAGGGATGAATGGTGGTTTTGGATGAGGGATAAACACTTGACAGGACACCCTTATGTGTTGCCTATTCACTAGACAGTACTGTAGTCCCTTGTCGCCTCTTACACCTCTCACACCAACCCCTCTCTCACCCCTTCTTCCGGGTACTTGGACATCGCCTATCCAAATTAGGTCAGGTCTTCGTTTACCCTTCCTTCCCTCGACCCGTGCTCTGTCCAAACTGCATCATTACATTCATTTTCACCTTCCTCTCATCTTCTCCTTCTCCTCCTCCTCCTCCCTTTCCCTCCTCTACATATCTCTCTCACTTTGACTTACATCCCGTCATTGTCATCGCACCGCCCTGTTGTGCTCGTTACAACGCGTCCCTCGCTTGTCCCATCCCGGCTTGCCCGCTTCTCGACCCGCTTCCCCACATCGCCTCATCTCACCGTCGTCCCGTCACCTTGCCGATCAATAACTCACAACTTATAACATCCACCACACAACGAAGTAACCTCATCCCGGGAAGGAGACCGGAACCCCCCAGCCGAGGAATTTGGACATCCTAACCCACCCTACCTATCCCGGCGCATCACACACGAACGCCATCAAAAAGGGGGTAACGAACACAGCCAGCGCGAACACGCGAGTCTACCCAACTAGTATCTCAACCGTCATCAACGGGCATCCCATCATCATCATCATCATCACATCCGTAGGCCCATTAGCTTGATCTACCGGTGCCGCAGAGGAGTAGCGAGCTGAAAAATACACGCGAAACGCTCCCCTCTCCACCCGTCTGACAACCACCACCCCTCTTCTATCTATCCCCACCACCATCGCTCTCTCCCTTTGCCTCATCGTATGTTGCTCATGTCATACGATGTTGACCTCAACAGTGCTGACTCTTTTCCCACAGCGAGCACATAATTACTCTCGTTTGCTATACCTCTTGCTCGATACCTGCTTTGCACCTTCCAAACTGGGACAAAAGCGCAGGCAATAAATCCTCCCGACAAAAGCACTACCTGCCAACCAACGCCACTAACACCGGCCAGACAGCATATTCGCAGCCCATTCGCAATCTATCGCAACACGTTTCGCCGCGCCCGCAACGCATCAGACAATGGACTACGCACCTGACACCGCCAGCGAGCCTTTTGCACACTCAGTCGCCTCCGTCTCATGGGGCTCACCAAGACTTATGCTCTCCCCTTCCTCGACTGAACTCAGCCAGCAGTCCTCTCCTATCCAGCTCATGTTCCCCAATACCGGCCTATATGCGCCTCCAGCGCACGATGGCCGTCCAAGTACAGGCAGCAGTATCCATTCTCGCCCTCCCACAGGTCCCGCAACAAGTCAGCTCAGTCTGAACCTCTCCGCACTCAGCGTAAACTCGTCTGATCACGGTCAGCACTCTCACCCGGCGGACGAGAGCCCGGAGATGGACCAAACAGGACTCGACAGCAGCGTTTTCCACTCGCCGACAGATGCGGCATTTGCAGCTCCCCACCCGTATGGTAACCTATACAACATGAGTGCTGCCCATGCAGGCGCGTCGACTTCCCCACGCATTGCTCGTCACGCACTGCGCAAGCGACCGCTTCCGCAGTCCATGGACGAGCAACAAATACAGGAGACAATGGCTGGCTCTGGTTCGGTGTACAGTAACGCGATGGGCCCTATCGGACTTGGGATCGCCCGTCTCGTACCGGACAGCGAACCGAGCATGGGCATCGACCCGAGTCAAGTGTCCGTTTCTGCTCTGCATCAGGCGATGGACGACACTGGTGACTTGGCGTTCGGAACTGATGGTACCGGGTCAGGAATGGACGGTTCACCTGACTCGAGCGAAGATGCAGACGGTCCGATGAACTTGATTTCCCAGGTGGGTGGGACTGGTGTGAGTATGGCGGAAATCGGGCATGTAACTGGTGCTGTCCAGGGAATCCACCGTGGTGCGGGGACGATCAGGATTCCGAGCGGGATGAGCGTGAGCGCGGATGAAGGGACGAGCAGCGGGCGCGGATATTCGGGTAGGCCCCCGCCTATGAATAACTTCGTTACCAAGCTGTACCAGTGAGTACGCCTCATATATGCGTCGAAACGAGCTGATCGGATGTGACAGCATGATCTTGGACCCTAAGGCTGCACCGTTCATCTCTTGGACGGACATGGGCGCGAGTTTCGTGGTGAGCAGTGTGACCGAGTTCAGCAAGACGGTGCTTGGGAGTCATTTCAAGCATAATAACGTGAGTATATGCGCATATATCTAGTGTTTATTGTCATACTGACAGGCACTGCAGTTCTCGAGCTTCGTCCGTCAGCTGAACATGTACGGATTCCACAAGATCAACCGCACCCCCCGTGCATCCCGCTCGACAGGTACGGATCAGACCTGGGAATTCTCCCACCCCAAATTCCTGCGCGGTCGCCCAGATCTGCTGGACGAGATCAAGCGCAAGGCTTTGGAGCCCGATCTCACCGCGCGTCAACGCGTAGAGCTCCCTGCAGAGGTCGCGAACCAGCTAGGCGGCGTCGAGGGCCGCATTGAGCAGATCGCGGCTCAGCTCATGGCGGAGAAGGAGAAGAACCAGAGGCTGGCTCTCGTCGTACGCCAGCTGTGTGATTGGCTGGCGAATATGTATCCTGGGCAGAGTGCGTTGGACTTTTCTTCGCAGGACATTGCACATATCTGATGTATTGTGTCGCTAATGTTGTAGTTCCGATCCAAGTTCCCACTGACCTGCTTGAGTGCAGTCCCCATCCGCACATCTATGTGAGCCACACGGCCGACGGAATGCCCATAAACGGACATCCTGTTTCCCCATCTTACCTCTCCCCTTACGTCCAGCATCCGTATTACGCAGTACCCGTCCCGAACACGCTCACCCCGCAGTCGACACCGACGTCCTCCGACTTCCCTGATGACTCGCAACAGTCACGCATGCTCGATCCCACTTGCGACCCGACCGACCGCTCGCGATTCATCATTCCCCAGCTTCCGCACTCGGCACCGGCAGGAGGCCGCTTCATGCGCCGCAACGTGTCCAACCTGTCGCTGGACGAAGTCTCTGTGGGTTCTAGTCATCACGGCACGTTTATGCTTCGTCCTTCAGCGTCGAATATGAACCTTGCCGGTGTTGATGGTTCCGAGCTCCACCAGCAGCAGCAAACTGACAGCCCGGACTCTCTCGAGCCCAACGTACTGGAACTAAATGGCCAGATACTGCCAGAAGTTCCCGTACTCTCCGCAGCGCCCAAGAGCTCAGGTCGTGGAAGCAGCAAGCGTCAGCGCCCAAACCCCTCACCATCGCTCGACTCCCAGCTCTCCATGGCAGGGACCGAATCCCTCGCCTCTTCTACCGTGTCTTCCAATATACACGGCAAGCTGCACCGCGTGAGGAGCGATAGTGCACCGCTCGGATTCGGCCTCGGACAGTGGCAGGGGCAGGACCAGTCCGCGTTTATAACACCATCGACGTCCGCACCCAACCTCTCTCCTGAGCGCAGGCCCAGGAGCGGAACGTTGATCAGCCGGAGGGCTACTGAACGTTCCGGCCTTCGGATGGCCTCGAAGGCCGAGGCGTAAAACACCCCTCAATGCCTTGCTTGACCGGCTTACGGTCCTCTTTGTGGGGATCAACTTGATCTCTGCACTATTTTGTCACCTTCTTCTTGTCACCCTCAGTCCTCTGCTTTCTGTTCTTGCGTGGAAGACCTCAGTAAAATAATCCTTAAAACCTGTAAGCTCTCTGCAACCTTCCATCCCATTCTGCGCGCATCATACCCGGTCTCTCTCAGTCCACTCTCAGCTCACTCTTCCCTGGCTTCACCCGTCCGTTTCCAGTACATATACTGCCTTTTCTTTTTTTCGATTTCCTTGGTATCGGTATGCGTCCTGTAATCTTCTCTAGGTTTATCTGTCTGTTTTCGTACAGGAGGCTAGATGCCTCACTTCCACTCCTTTATGTTGAACCTCTCTTTTCTTCCCTGGCTCTCCTTCCTTCGTACTTTCGTTTCGCTTGAACGGCTCCCAGCGCGGCCGGTCTTGGACTTGTGTTGATCACCCCGTACCTAGTTGCCTTTTGGCTGGATCGGCTTATAGTCTTGGTTATCGCCTTGTTCCTGTACTGTGATCTTGGAAAATGTGACATATGTCAGGTGATTCCAGTGTGCGTGTCTGGGTAGAAGACCGGACAGTATCCATATGGCTACATTATGCTAGATTACAATGCGATCCCGCTCGTTGAACTCGTTAAACGAGTCATCGAGTACTTTGCGGCCCATAAGCAAAACTCTCAGAGCACATCGTGCTCCCTCCAACCAGTACCCGGACCAGTCGATCAACCGTACAGTGATCTCGACCCAACCTCCCTTCTCCTCCAGCTCTTGCAGTGTCCGCCGTGCCTCCAGCTCTGTCCAAGAGAAACCCCAACAGTCGAGAGATGTCGTGCCCCAGCATAACCTCTCAGAAGATGCATCAAACCCATGGACAGAGACGGTGATTTCTCGCAGGACGGGCTCTTCTTCGCTCCTGCTCGCTTCGGGAGGAGTGCCCATCCTTGTCCTCCATGTGAAGACCCCGCAGTCCTCGCCGTCGGAGAACGAGAATCGTGGGCTGTCGCAATAGAGTCTTGGAGTGACGTAAGCTGGTGTTTGGCCGATTGGGGGGAAGAGGACAGCGCGTCTGATATGAACCGCTCCGAGGAAAAGAGCGCCAGGTTGTCCAAAGTCAACTACAATACCGAAGTTGACGAGCCCCTGCAGGTTCGGGAAGACGGTCGTGGTCTTGTTCCACTGTACTTTGCCGTCCCGGGACGAGACGGGGACGCATTCGGTACTCAGAGGGGTGTCCGAGGCGGAGGCGGACCATCCCATCAGGTGAGAGGGGGAGGGGGAGGGGGGGGTGCAGGTGCCAGTCGTCCAAGTCACCTCGGCCACAAGGACACACCCCTCTCCTTCCCCATCGCAAACTACCGGGAACAGCGGAGCGAAGTACCTTCCTCTTCCTCCTTCAACGTCCTCTGGCAGCGAAAGCCGAAAACAATGTGCTCCGAACCAAGCCAGCTCGGGGTCTTCGACCACTTCCCCTGTCAGCAAAGCCACTGTTCCCGTACTCATGTCTCTCCCAAGACTGGCAGGCATCGCCGACCCAGGAAGAGGAGCTACAAGCTCGTGGTCGGACCATGGGGAGTCGAGTACCCGCTCTCCGTGGACGTTAAACGACTCCCCCAGGCCGAGGGAGAAGGTCGTCCCTACCGGTAATGCCAGTGGCTTGGGAGGGAAATACCGACTTATGGGCTGGAAGCGTTCTCCCTTCTGGAGCTGTTTGCTCTTGTCCGTATTGAGCCGCTTTAGGTTTCGCTCTTCCTCCACGGGCGTGCTTCGTCCTACCCAGAAAAGGGTTTCCCGGTCCCACCAATCCTGTCTCGTGTTCCCTGAGGCGGGGTAAAGCTCCCCGCTCTCCCAGAGCCAAGCTGGCGCGAACAGAGAGGTGCTGAACTTCCTCCCTTGGGGCCGAATTTCGTCCAGTGCCAGGCAGGCCCTGTATCCCCCCCCCTTGAACGTCCTCCTCCCCCACATGTCAATCCCGAAAGCGACGTCCTGTGCTAGCCGCCCCCCAGGGCCGGAGAGATAGGTCTCCGCAGCGCGGATCTTGGATGGGGTGTACCAGTAGTTCGTGTGGAGCATGTTTGCTGCTTGGAAGAAGGGTGCGTTCAAGTGCGTCAGCGTGTTCTGGTGAGATCGCCATCCCCAGGTTGTAATTGAATCGAACCACATTATACAGCTCTTTTCTCCCAGTATGTGTCGAGCACGGGTGGTAAGATATTCTAGCCATTTGACGAGGAGTGAGACGTGTGAATAGTATCTCAGCTCGAGGTTGACAAGCCAGCCGTCAAACCCCCTCTGCCGGGCTAACTCAACAAGCAAGTCGGCGTACTTCGTTTCCAGCGTCTTTTGCGGGGTAAGAAAGAGGCGATATTGGTCTTCCTCCCCGTTTCCGGGTTCGAATATCCTGAGAGGGATGAGCTGGCGAGAGAAGGGAGAGGAAGGACGGACAAGACACCGAGCACTTGGCAGCCCTGTCGATGCCCGGCGTTTATCCATGCTCTCGGGGGTGACCCTACACGGTAATGGCTGAAACTTTGGGGTGTGAGATGGGCAGCGAGGGAAGGGAGGAGAGACGCACTAGATGAACACATCCGCCTTGCTCCACCAGGGGAAGGACCACATAGGCGCCCATTGGTCTTTGGGGTAGTTGCCAGCCATGTCGTGGCATATTACTAGCTTTCCTGCAGGTTCTGATGAAGTAGGTCGAGAACGCAGAGGAAGGGCAGGAGGGAGAGGGGAGGGGGAGAGCATATACTGCTCGAAGGAGAAGAGGGAGGGGAAGTACTCCGGCTCAGAGGGGGATTGCACCGTTAGGGCGTTCGGGGATGGGTGTGTACTCGGCATAATGTGCGTGATATTGAGGAAAATAAAGCACAGATGTGACTATATCGGATACTATGACTAGAATGAGCGCTGCAATATCATATATGCGGGTAGCCAGAGTATATGCGGCATTAGTTGACGCCCAGATGAGCCCCAGTTGTGTGCACCAACAGAGCCAGATTGCAGACTAGTATTTTCAAAGAAGCAGATTTCCAGCTAACAACACAATCAAGCCATGAGCAGTCAACGTTTTAAACGTAGATTGAAAAGAGAAGCAAAGGAGTAAACTTAGTGAACACAACAAATTGCAATCGTATTCATCCTACGGGATATCTTCGGCTCCGCTCCAACTTTACGGGATCAACTTCAGCGCCCAACTCATCACGTCCTCCTCGACCTTTCGTGTTCGCCACCCATTTCCTAGTCACTCGTTCACCTCAATGTCGGCCTACTCCGTCGAACAGCTCCTAAGCGGCGAAGTAGCAGATTCACCGTTATCAACAGCGTCGACAACGAAGGCTAAGATACAGCAGATAGAACATAGGATGGCTGCCTTTGTCGCTTCTGTTGCTCATCCGCATGCTCATCCACCACCACCACCCGCTCAACCTCAGCCATTCTTACCTCCTCCAAGTGCTGTTGGTACAGCACAGTATCCACCACTTTCGGCACCTGTAGGCAATACAGTTCCCACCTACCTCTCGCTTCCTCCTGCCCAGCCCGTGGCTCTACCTGTTGCCCCACCAGGTGCACAAGTGGTCAAGCCCGTCCCACCCCCACCAGCGCCTACTAATGCCTCCTCCTCCCCTTCTACCAACACTTCCCCTGCCCCTCTCACACCTCTACACATAGCAGCCTACGCCCTCCAACCCTGGTGCTGGCGCACCTCCCGTCCACCCGCATCCATAGCCCGTGTAACACTGCGCAACAACTTCGTAGCCCTGAGCATCGTAGGCGTGGCGTGGTACCTCGGGATCTGGGGGCTCCTATGGGAAGTGGTGGGGAATCTTGCCGGAGAGGGGACGGAGATGGTACTGAGTATGTTACTTCTATCTATCGTCGTATATGACCATGCTGATGCAGGATGTTGTAGAACGACTTCTACTCCTCTCCCTCCTTGCGAACATCGCCGAATCAGCATATACACTCTCCTACCCCCCTCCCCTCTCCGAGCCTCTGGCAGGTACAGTCCCCTCATACAAGCCGAGCAGCCTCAGCCCAGCCCATAGGAAGCTAATTGAGCGTTCCCTATCCGTATGTCCCCCCCCCCCCTTCCTCACAGCAGGCGAAACTGACCTCCTACAGGACCTACCGCAAACGTCTTCATCTCCCTTCTTCTCCCCATCCAGATCCTCCCTCTCTCGATCCTCAAGCCTCTCTTTCTCCCGCTCTCCCCACTCCCTAAGGTCCAGCTCGCTCCCCTCCTCCGTCTCTTTTTCCAGCTCGTTGGCAAGCACCCTACGCAGCGCGGACCTCTCGGACCCGCTGAATCCTATGAATCCTGAGAGTCCGTTGAGGGCTTTCGAGGGCCGGAGGAGCCCCAGAGGGGGGAGAGCGTTGGGTGCTGGGGATCTGGATAGGATGAGGAGGGAGAGGTGGTGATTCTCCTGGGTAGGGTGTAGACAGGTGAGGTATTGGTGGCGTTGAGTGTGGTGCTGGATGTTTCATGATACCCGTACACGTGCATTGCTAGATATAATACAATGATCTCCATCTACTACACACCAGAGATGGCCACACAATGATGACGTCCATCTACCACGACCAAAGCCCTAGAAATAGTGACCAAACATGAACGCTCCCACGCCAAATCTAAGTGATCGGTGCGCTCTTCCCACTCAAAGACCGGAAGAACTCGTTATACGCGCGCTCGATATCGAACAGCATCTGTGTCACGTCAGCCCCAACGCACAAACGGCCCTCCCATCCAAACATAGCCGCACGCACCTGCCTAACCTGCTCATCACTCAACACCTCACTCGCTTTCATCCCATTAAGGACAATCAACCACCCGACGATCTTGGCCCTTCCCTCCCAAGCCTGGCTGCCCTCAAACTTCGAATACCCGTCCATAAGCTCAGTAAGGAGCGGATGGAGCTGATCCTTGGCCCGCATCTCGAGCCGGAGGGCGTCCATGAACGTGATGAAATTTTGTGTCGTTTCGGCTACTCGCTGGGGGGAGCTGGAGCTGGACGAAGCGGCGGAGTGCTCGGTCGTTGCTGGGAGACCTAGGGCGAGGCGGTGCGCTGCGGCAGGGAAGTCCATCTGCGCATGTATGTTATATAATACTGGCACTGGGGGGAAAAGAGGGAAGGGGACGCGCACGTACGTTGTATCGTCGCATGAACGCTTCCAAGCTTGGCACTTCTTCAGGAATAAGCTTCAACATCGTCTTATACTGCGCCAAAAGCTTCATACACGCCGGCGTATACCTTTTCTCATCAGTGTCCCATTCTCATAAAAGAAGTTCTTAGAAGTAGGATAAGACGTACTGAGAAGCTGTAATGGAGTCCCGCACATAGGCCCGCTCGAGGTAGTCGAGTGCGACTATGATACCAAAGAGGGTGGACATGGACTCGACCTTCTCCCGTTGGGAATTGGTGGTGTAGAGCCGGACTTCTTCATCTAGGTTGAGGGCGTGGGGGAGGGACATGGTCGACATTGTTGACAGTGGAAGGGAACACCTTGAGGGGAGTGACTGGGGGAAGGGTTACGTAAGCAAACTTTGACTGATAAGAAGGCTTGTCACTGTCGATGACGTCAAGCTTCTCTCTTTATGCTACTTATATACCAAGCACAACATGTTAGTCGGTCAACGTCGTACAGCACGACCACCATCACCACCACTGCCATCATCACCAGCACACACACCGTTCGATAACTACGAGTAATGGCGACCAGCTTGCAAGTTGAGCCTACCCCGTTGGGGGAGACGACCGCACCCGCGTTTGAGAGTGCCCGCGAGGAAGGTCGCAGTGAGCAGGGTAAGACTCCCTTTTGTCTGCAGCCTAACAGGCTCATGATTCTTCAGGGGCGCAGGTGAACCAGGCTGCTGATACCGCTAACCCCGGTCTTGGAGACAACGCACCAGTGCCCACTTCCACTTCCACCGAAGGGGCGCGGACCTCCGAATCCGAACCTCTCCCCTCCTCCACCTCCCCTACCTCCCCTACCTCCCCCACCAACCCCCCCACCCCCGGCCGTCAATCCACTGACGGACACTTTGCCAAAGTTCCCGGAGTCTCCGCGCGCGTACTTGAGAAGGACGAGAATGCCCCCACGTTCAAGGAGAAGGTGCAGGGGTTTGCCAAGATCTTTCGTGGCGGGGCGTTGGGTAAGGAGGAGCTGAAGGCTGAGGGGAGGAGTATTTTGACTGGGGAGAGGAAGGCTAGCTCGGGATGAGATTGGTTGAAGTGGAGAGCAGGGTGGTTGGTGTAGACGTGTGCGCTGATTAACTGTGTAACCTTTATTCGACTGCGAATGTTGTATAGCAAGATACAGTTACTAGCATAAGAATTATTTATGCATTCTAACAATATTAACATTGTACAAACCCGCTTGTTCTTCATTCCGAAGCGCCGAAGAAGCGTTGCGGAAGCATTACCTGTTCATCACGCGTTCACAGCGCATACTGTACACCGACATTGACCTTGTAACCCCACCTTCACACCATCCTAACACAAGTCCATCATGTCGGACAGGGAGACGCTCCTCTCCTTTGGCTTTGCCCCAGAGCGCGTCGACTGGGCACTCAAAGCGACCTCCAACGCCGGTCTCCAGCCTGCGCTTGACCATCTCGAGCAGCACCAGGATGACCCTGTGCCGGATCTTACTGCTGTCATTCCGGGGAAGGGGGCTGCTCAGCCCGAGGATGATGACGAGGATGACGAGGCAACAGCTATTGCTGCTAGTACGGGTGCTGAGGCCAAGGTACAGTATTCCCGTTGTGAATCTCAGGACGGGCTTAACATTGAGCTGTGGACAGAGCATCAAATGCAGCGAATGCGGAAAGATATTCAAGAACACCGCTCTGGCGAACTATCATGCCGAGAAATCGGGGCATGACCAGTTTGAGGAAAGCACAGAGGAGATCAAGCCGCTTACTGAGGAGGAGAAGAAGGTGAAGCTGCAGGAGCTGAGGGAGAGGATGGCGGAGAAGCGGAAGGTGAAGGATAAGGTTGACGCTGAGGACCAGAGGAAGAATGAGGACATTAGGCGTAAGGCCGGAAGGGTGTGCTGATTTATTCTTGGTGGTGGTGCTCGGGCGTTGATGTGCGTGTGACAGGATGCGGGGTATATTAAGGAAGAGTTACGCGCGAAGGAGACGATCAAGGCTGCTGAACAGGCGCGGAGGGACAAGATCGAAGACGCCAAGGCGAAAGCAGCTGTGAAGGCGCAGATCGAGGCTGACAGGCGTGCGCGGGCTGAGAAGTCCGCGAGGGAGAAAGCGCTGCGCGAGGGGAAGGTGTACGATGCCGAGGCTGGAGCGGAGCACGCTGCCCCCGCTCCTGCTGCTGCGAGCGCAAGCGCAAGCATGGGGATGAAAAGCAAGGATTACCCTGAAACGCGTTTGCAGATTCGGCTTGCGAACGGAGGACCGTACACCACCACCTTGTCGAGTGATGCGCCGCTGAGCGAAGTAGCGGAGTTTATTGCTGCCCAGAACTTGGCCTTCGACGCGGATCGTGTTACGCTCAGCACGCATTTCCCACGCAAGACGTTTACCCAAGCGGATATGCGTCGGACGTTGCGAGAGCTCGGGCTTACACCGTCTGCTGTAAGTTTGTCCTTGTTTGTCCTTGCACTCTTGCTGACGGGGCACAGGTCTTGATTGCTTCATGAGCGCATACGATGGGTTGAGAGGAAAACGATTGCATTCTGTACTACTTACAAGGATTTGCTCATGTATGGAGAACGACCACCCAATCAATGGATGATATCTGAATGCCCAGCCAAAGTGCGAAAGCGAACAGAGAATCTCAGAGGGACCAAAGAACGACAAGAACCGAAGGAGAGAGGCTGGTAGCTGGTGGTTTACAGTGGATCGTGTGATCGCTGGAATACAACGGTTGGGGCGTAAGAAACACAAGGAAGGACAGGACAAGAAGCGTGAGAAAAATACCGGGAACATGCTGATTCGGATTGTCTAGATTTGGTCGACCTCGGTCGACTTTGCGATTCTGGCTCGCTGGAAGATCAGTTCTTGTTGCTGCGCTTGAAGAACCTACCCAGCCCCTTGCTCATGACGTTGTTCTTCCCCACCAGGCTTGCGGCGTCGACCGGGGGCACAGGGGTGACCGCACCGCGCTCAAAGCTGTTAAACCGCGCTCTCAGGCTGGTGCTGGACGCTGACTTGGACGGCCCGTGGGTGGGAGGAACGCCCTTGGGCTGTATGGTTGGTGGGCCAGAAGGTTTCTTCGCCCCTGCTACTGGGGGAGACGAACGGGAGAGGAAAGCGAATGGCTGGGAGACGCGGCGGCCTTCTTTCACGCTCGCGTGGGAGAGCTTGAATGGCGCTGACCCTTGCATAGGTGCGGTGGGCTTGGAGGAGGAAAGATCGTTCGCTGACGATCCTGCCGAGCTCGGGGAGAGGGAGGAGGCCGAGGAGCTCGACTGGCTCTTGGATAGCGAGGGACAGGAGGACTCCGCGCGGGAAGAAGCGCGGGACTCGAATGATGCCCGAGGGGGCAGGTGGAAGTCTGCTCTCAAGGTGTCGCGTTTGCCTACTGTCCGCGTGGGGGGTGTTTGCTCTTTCCCCGGGATGGAGCTGCGCCGCGTTGGGGGGGCAGAGGGGGGCAGCGCCTTGCGGATGAAGTCGATCCTCGCTTGCTCCACTGGGTCGACGCCTGGAGGAGCGGCTACCGGGCAGTTAGCCTGTCGGCGGCGGGAAGAGCCATGGGGGCGAGGTGCCTGCGCCTTCATCTCCGGAAGAAGGTGCTTCGGTGCTGCCGGCTCAGGGAACGTCTCCGCGCCTTTGACGCTCTTTGGCTTAGGGGGCATGTACGCTGTACCCGTGGCGGGAAGAGGCCCATTCCTGTCACCGGTGGAGGGGATGAACCCCGTAAACTCGGTCGAGGCCGTGCGGATATGCCGATCCATCAAATCGCTGTCGAACGAATCGCCTGTAGAGCTGTGGTCATCCGCTTCTTCATCTGGCGTGCTGTCGCTCCCGAAGGATGCCCACGAAGGCTGCGGTCGCATTTGCATGCTGTATGGCTGGCGAAGGCCAAGTCCTTGGTTCCCACGTGGCGGTACTTCAATCCACAACAAAAGAAGTCAAGAGGGCATTTGATCCCGCTTCTTTTCTAGCTTTCTTGTAGATTCCATACAAAGCACAGCCTTCTTACTCGATTTAGGCCATTCCCGAGCACGGCCAGCAACGGCAGACCCTGAGTTATTGTTTTCCTCGGAAGAAGCAGGTTATTGTTGTCCAGAGAATATACCCTTTTATTGTCACAACTCGGCTTGGCACGACCACGTTCGAGTGAGTTGTGATGGAGGAATTGCCTGGACAATAGCGCTCCAATTACCAGCCACTCAACGGCTGATGCTCAGGAGGGACAAAAGACAAATGAGTGTACGCAACGCAGATGATGATGAACACACTGGCAGATTCCTACGCCGTCCTTTCGCCGGCGTGTCACCAGGGTGGGGGCACATCCAATCGCCAGTCCCTGGGTACTGTTACACCCGAACTCCGACGGCATCATCACCCGTTGCCGCATGCGGCCATCAGCCGGTGCCTCAGACCGTCACATGAGCCAGTAATGAGGAGGCGAGAGAGCGGCAAATGCAGGAATTGGCAAGCGGCCTTCCGCCGATGGGGACATGCTGGCATCAACGAGTCGAAATGGTGAATGTCCGCAATTGTGCACGTTTGAGCCTACTCCTCTGAAGGAAACGTCAGGTCTGATACTGTCCGCAATGGCCACGTAAAGTATGGGTCAAGATGGAAGTGCTCCGGTTGTCTGCCGTTGGCAGGTTGGTCAACTGCAAAGAACGAAGAACTCGGCTCATGCCGACGACGACCCGCTGACTCAGCTAATAAGCACGTGATCTGGAACCAGTCAACGAGCTCGTCGTCGAGGGCGCCCTCACCGTCGGCGTAGAGGGATGGTCAAGCTGTCCGTGCCCGGGATACCCAAGTCTCTCTCCCCTCTCCCGTCGTCTCCACCCATCCCTATCCCTCAAGCAGTCGAGCGCGTCTCCGCCTTCCTCTCACCAGGCAACGCGGTTGTCCTTACTGGTGCAGGTGTCAGTGTGGACAGTGGGATTAGAGCGTATAGAGGACACGATGGGCGGTATTTGAATCCGAATTATAAGTGAGTGAAGTGTGGAGAGAGAGAGGAGGTACTGATTGATTGTAGACCGATTTTCGTGAGTCTGTGGTTGTGCGGTCTTCTTGGTACGCTGACGACTCCAAGTATCAAGAACTCGTCGACCCCACGCCAACCGGGCACCTCTTCAGGTATGTCACGATCTTCCTTGCCCTTTCGTTGCTCAATATGCATGAAGACAACGGTACTGGTCTCGTTCATACCTCGGCTACCCACCCGTCCGGGACGCCCTACCCAACCCCATCCACTACTCGCTTGCAGCCCTGCAGCATACAGGTCACTGCAGATCGTTAATCACGCAGAACGTCGATGGACTGCACAAGAAAGCGAGCCCGAGCGAGGAGGTAAGACGCAGGATATTGGAGCTACACGGCACGCTTTTCGTAAGTGTATGCGCTGACTTTTAGGAAGGCGCTCATGAGGATAGATCGTTCACTGTAAGCACGGACATACATGGGATCGGGACAGCTATCAGGAACGATTGGAGGCTCTCAATCCGCTCTGGCAACCGCTGGCGGAGAAAGTGGGTAGAGAGCTGAGAAGGAACCCGGATGGTGATGTGGGTTATGAACTTGCCTTTTGTTTACGGTGCTTATTGTTCATGAGTAGGTCGAGGTAGAAGGTATGGACTTTGCCTCATTCAACATCCCGCCATGTGAGCGGTGTGCCGCAGACGGTGTGAATGAGACTGTTGTATGTCCTCCCTTTTCGCAGGAGCGTGCACTCGCGCTGACATGTCAACGCAGATCAAGCCGAACGTGACTTTCTTCGGGGAATCCATCCACGAGCCTCTGAAGGACCAATCGTACGGACAAGTTCGTCCCACCACAACAGTCGCTAAGTCATCCCTTTTTCCCAGGTATCGTCTTGTAGAAGAAGCATCACGCATGCTCATCGTCGGCACAACCATGGCCACATACTCTGCCTTCCGCCTCATACGGCACGCCCTCGGGCTAGACAAGCCTGTGCTGCTGCTGAACGTCGGCCCGACTCGGGCGGACAGTCTCCCGGCAGTGGAAAAGATCGAGTTGCCGGCGGGTGATGTGATACGGAACGTGGCGCAGGCACTGTGGTGAGTTGGTCATTGATATTGTACATTGATGGAGTGAAGTGATTGATGCCGTTTTCCCAGTGCGACTGAAGCACAGACTGATCCTGTTCTGAGAACACTGCTCACGTCCGGTGTTGTGCGAGCGGCCAAGACGGGCGATCGTGGCGCAGGATAACGAGTAGGCCGCTAGATTCATGCATCATGTTACAATGGCATTTACTGCCAGCATTACACTGTAACAATAATGCAATTACCCACTATAGAAATTAGACTTTGTCGTCGACGTGGCTGCCCACGTCGTTGCCGCTGCGCCGCGTCCGGGAAAGCAAGTGTTTCATCTCCGACCGTGCCGGTCCCTTGAAGACACTTGGGAAAGGATGGGAGACTGCAGCGCAGCTCCTGCGCCCTCACTCCTCTTTTCTGACATATACACCGCTTGTTGGTGACTAGGATAGCTTTACTCTTGACAAAAGATGGTCCTCATCGACGACCCCACTTCTAAGGCTGGACCTCCCCCGCGTGCGACGGCGAACCCCTTTGCACGGTACAGCGATAATGAGCACGACAACGACCCTGCACCACCGCCGGAGTATGATGCTGGGCCTTCGCTGCCAGTGCACGAGGGCGCAATTGACATGGTATCATCGAGCACGTCGTTGTTGCCTGCGGGTGTAGAGCCAGGCGAGGCACCGCCGCAATTCGATATCTACAGGCCGCAGTACACTGTCATGCAATCGGGGAACATCGTCTCCCATGATCCGCATCTGAACGAAGATGGCAAGCAGATTGACACCAGGAGGTAGCGATGGCTAACCCTGCTCACAGGCGAGGCGCTCTATCGTTTCTTGCTCTTTCAGAGCAGTGTGCGCCCTACGATGGAGATCCGGATCGTCGGCACACACTCTAGCACGACATACGTCGAGACGGTGCACCGGGACGCACAGGGAAGAGAGCGGATCAACCGCACACCACGACACGACACTGTCACTGATTTCTCGTTCCGTATCGATCTCGCAAAGCTGCTTAACCCTCCGCCAGAGTTCTTCACCAGCCCGGACGATGAGCCCGCCTTCAGGGGCGAAATGTATCGCGAGACACTGGTTGCAGGGAAGAAGAAGGCTGCGAGTGTTACTGGACTATACGAGCGGATGGCATGGCGTGCGGAGAGGAAGAGGAGGGGACAGACACCGTGGAGCTGGAAGACTGTCAGTGCGAAGGGGACGAGGACGGTGAGGGAGTGGGCCGACGAGTTCTGCGCGAGTCCGAAGGTGCTCAAGGAGTTTGAGTACAAGAAGGAGATTTATGGCTGGGATCTTCAGGAGCTTGAGAGAAGTGAGTAGTGCTGTCAAGCACTACTGAGGGAGACTCATCAGCCCTTGCAGTGATCCAGAGAACAGCGCAAAATGCCTTCTATCATGGGATGGTGCAAGTAACTTTCCCCCAGAGCGGAACTCGGATATTCATCAGACGTGATTCTAAGTTCGCACGTATGCTCTCTATCACGTATGTTATCTGCGTTCCTTGTCATACTATATTGCCCTGCTGACGACCGTACAGCGCTGTCAAGGTTATCCTGTGGGTATTGTTCATCTATCCGTTCATCCTGTTGTACAAGTTCTGCTGGCCAACTGGTGGAGGGAAGTGGGCTGTCGCTGGCGAGGGATGGACGTACAACGTTTGGACCGCCCAAGGCGTGCAACCATTAAGTTTACAACAGTGGTGGAGGGTGTGGGAAAGGCGGATTAGGAACGCCATCGAGGAGCGCGTCAAAAGCGACGACATGCTGCAGACGGTGGAGGATTATCAATTCCCGAATGGAACAGTGACTGCGTAAGGCCTTTATCTCATCTTTGAGTATCTTGTATCTGTTTGTATCTTTCGTTCTGTGGGGAGGGCTCTGGGTATGGATATAATTGCATTCTATATTACCAGTATGCTCATGCTACGCAGCCAGCGCCTTTCTCCGTGAGATCGGCTTGGAAGGCTTGCGCCTTTTGCCACCATCAAAAGCGTGGGCGGTTTTCAGATCTCGTCCCAGCGGATCTTCCTTCTTCACCTTGTAAATCCGCACAATCCAGTTTTCCGATGTGAATGCTTCCTCTGTGGACGCGATCAGTGGCAGAACCATAGCACTATGTATCTGTACACACCAATGTAGTCCAACTTTGGTCCCTCCTTGGGCATCTGCTGGTTCCGGACTCGGTCGAAAGCGGGAGCACCAGAAAAGAGGTCGTTGAATCTTTGACATATGAGCCAACACAGACAAGACAGGAGGTTACAACGCACCGGTAATAACTCATCTTGTACATCAAGCTGTTCTTCATCGCTTCGCTTGCTTGATCGTCCACCTTGTATTCGCCCCGTGGTGTGAAGTAATTGGACTCCTTTATTTCGTCCGGCCAAACACCTTGAGCGATACGGACCATCCACAGGAACTTATTGACGTCATCACCCGAATACCCAATCAGGCCACCAAAAATGACGAGGATGTAATCAACATCATGCTTGCGCAGGATAGGATATGATATCTCCTCGGGAGACGACATTGCCTTGCCAACAGTAGCAATGTGGGCTGTGTAATGGTGAATGAAGGTAATAGCACAATGAAGGATGACTCACTGTTGTTCCAAGTATTGTTGTCAACAAGAGTGGGGCGATCCGCCATCCCAGCAATCTGATATCCGTAATCCCACCAACTCATCACCACAGAATCCTGTGGCGTGTTCTGACGAAGCCAATAGTACGCCTCTCGGAAGTCATCAATGATATTTTGTGATCCGTCGGGCCGACGCGAGGCCAATACGACGGAAGGTGAGGAATAGGCGGTAGAAGTCACCCAAGTGCAGTGTAACACGAACATGACCAGCATGAAGATTGCATTTCCGATTACCAAGATGCGAGTGTCGATACCGAAGATGCCATTCTCGGCTGATGACCGTCCTTTCGCCTTCGTGGCGATAGACGGGGTGACGGCGGCCGCAGCAGCAGCAGCAGCCACTCCCTTTTTCTTCTTCTTTGATATAGTCCCATCCACAGGAGTTTCCGCACCAGAAGTGGCCGTTTCTTTTACTCCATTAGCGTCTGGGTTAGCCGGTTCATCCACGTTGAGATATGTGTCGAGCAAGGAGGACAAAGCGATGGCTGCGGTCATACAAACAACCGGGGTGAGAGTAAGCATAAGCCGAACCATGACTCCTGCAAAATACGAAGCCATCACGGAGTAGATAATCACAAAAACGTGTTCTTCACGCAATTCCTTGAAACAAAGAACCACGCCGGCAGGGAATAGGAAGATGAGCATGTGAAGATCCATGAAGAACGCTGGCCAAGCAGTTGGCTGATGTTCGCTGACAGAGGCGATGATCGGGATGTACCTGTTGCTCTATGTTAGAGAATTCTGTTTCTAAGCTGTCGCATCATACGTACTTTTTGGCATAGCCGGTGTCCCATAACGAATAGAAACGACCAGTCCATGGCGCAATGGTCTTCGTCACTGTGAGTCCAACGATAATGAGTCCACCGGCCACTCCAGCGGCGATGAGGAACCAGCGTAGCATCAACTGGAATTGCTTAGATGCCAGAAGGTTCCTGATAGTCTCAACGAAAGCCACGAGCTGAAGAAGACCAAATACACCTGAGCCTTCATCAACATCAAGGCTGTGGTCATCAATGTATGTCACACACCAAGGGCCGCCATATGCTCACTGGTGAGCACAGGTTGGAAGCCAACGAAAGGGACTTGCATGCTGGCAAGTGTGCCAACGGCATACCAAGCCGAATAAGCGGAGTATAAGCGATGGGAGAAGCGGCCCATCAAAAGAAGCACGAAAGCATGCAGAGGAATCATATTCGTAATGAACGCGTATCCACCTAGTGTGCATGAATAACACAGGTCATATAATAGCAATGATTAAGCTTACCCCAAGCTGCAACCATGTAAAAGTAGAATACAGCGGCAAGGGTCCCATACAGGACACTGCCATCTTTCAGCGCTCTGATCCAAATATAGAAGGTGATCATGAGCAGGAAGATGGCAATGGCTTCATTGTCATACGACCCAGCAACAGAACGCGATATATATCCAGGAGCAATGCCGATGAAGATGGCAGCAAGCAGTCCAGCAGATTCATCTTTTAACTCCTTGGTCAACCTGTGAAGGTTGAATGAATATGTCTCGGGTTTACGGAGGTCAATACGTACATATACGTGGCCCACGCTGTCAAACCGCTAAAGCCTGGCGCGAGCAGCACGCATACATTGCGGATGTCAACGGGCAAGTGCAGTGCATGAAGGATATTGTAGATGACACCAGAGGTTGCCATCAGACCAGGATATATTGTGCCCCCAACAACTCGGCCTAACGGATACCATGCTGTGGGATCAAACCAGTTCCAGAATTCCTGTTTCGATATTTAGAACGATGTCTCCGAACACAGGTATCGAACCCCACCGTGAAGCCCTGAGAAGCGAGCACTCGTGTTGCACGGCTGAAGTCTGCGTTCAGTTTATCTATCAGATTTTAGACCATTCAAACGCACTAATTGAACCATGGGTCGCTTTAGACTCTTGTCAGCCGAGTGTCGCCTGCAGAGGTGTGTATGCACATACAATTCATGGATGATGCTCTCGAAGTTTATGACGGCAAAGAGACGGGAAGAGATGGCAGCGCCGGCAATAAATGCCAGCGCAAGAATACGAATGAGCGACGCGGCATTTGTGAGAGTTGATGGAGCGAAAGTGGGTAGTTTTAGGATGGTCATGGCCGTCCACGTCGTACTGGCAGCTTTTGGTGTCGATGTGCCGCGCTCACACGAAACCCTAGACAAGGCGAAGCTACGGAGGCAAGTCGGTCGTGGAAGGGAAGGTCACGTGCACGTTAATAATAGCAACCCTGGACTCCGAGGCCCATCTCGGAAATGTTGGGCCAGATGCGGAAACCAGTCTCATGCAGCCGACTGTTTGACGTTTGTTTGTCTTTGATAATAATATTTCCCCGGCATCCCGAAAGGGTGACCCATTGTGACTGCACGCATACATACATAGCAGTCATCGTGCCAGTGAGAGGCAGGAGTGTCGTGACGGTGGCAAGGCAGGTGCTATTTCCCTTTGGGGACATGGATCTACGTAAAGAAGTTCAACAGGGTATAATGTTGAAGCAAGTTTATCCATTCTTTGTGCTAGCATGTCAGCACATAAGGAAGCAAAATCTATTGAAGCACTTTCCACATGCCTCGTTACCACTGTTTCCGGAGCCTCGTGTAAAGAGGTGCCCTTTCTTCGTTTCCGACTTTTCTACAAGCCGCAAGTAACCGATGCCAGCAGACGATGACAAGCACATAGATAAATGCGCATGGTGATTACTACTAGTGGTGTATGTGATAGATAGGTTGGAATGATATGAACAGGGAGTGTGCGATAATTGTATTGTGTATTGTGCTTCTTAAAGAGAGGCATTATGAAAACGAGTGTGAATCACCAGCCTCAAACTCAAGACTGAGAGCGACGGAAGCCAGCGGCGGCAACAGGCGGGTTTTCTTCCCGAAAAAGCTCCCAGAGGCGGAGGCGTGCCTTGAGTGTCGTAAGCTCGGCCAGGTCTTTCGCGATCCCTTGCAAAACGACCATTGCGTCCAGACGAGCTTTGGCATTGTTATCGGCTTGGTTCCGAATCACTAGGATTCCTCGTCAGCTGAGGGGTCTAGGGCACATGCAGAACAAACACACGATTCTGAAGCCATTCTTGCTCGATTCGAAAGACGAGCTTCGATACATTGATCGCCTGGTCGATTCGCTTATATGTACCAACTGCCCAATTATGCATATCCGCAGCGGGTGGAACACCTCTGTCTGCTGGTAGCTCGTCGATGATCATGGACGAGATCAGGGCTTGAGTGAAAGGAAGACCATTGGCATTCGGGGCAGGACGAGCCATGACTGTCGGATTATTGAAGAAGATAAGAGTTGAAGTAGAGGGGTATCGAACAAATTGTGTGTAGAGTAGAATAGAGTGGGTCAATAGAGTAAACCCGAGACTAGGAGTAGGCAAAACCAGGACAGAGACTGTGTTGAAGGTGGTCGACCCATAGTACTTGGCAAGGTGGCTTAAATACGCAAATGTGGCGTCGAGCGGATTTGTCCATGAGGTGATGAAGGTTTGCTCTGGTCTCAGACCGGACTCCATCCTTGGCCACCATGGGATGGGCGGTGGAATCCTGTAGTTCGACACCCGACGGGGAATGTAGCTGAGGAAAACGTCGTTGTAGGATCCGTGATTCTAGCATCAGCGCGTCCGAGCAGTACGGCTTCAGAGCCTGGATCGACCGCCGTACCGCGTCTGTCTATCTGACGGCACAATCACCGACGGTCATCAGACAAAGAGGCTCCAGCCAAGATCCTGATTCAGGCAGGAGATAACAGCCACGTTCCCGGATGTGAACGGCTTCCTCGATTTCTGATTGACAAACGGTGCCCAAGGAATGTGGAGAACCCTAGGCCTTTCGCATCGCTTTTTCTTCCGAATCAGGCATGTTCGTGGGGCTCGGCGCTCGCTCTCGCGGTGCAATTAGCGCCCATAAGGCACAGGTGGCATGCTGTTTGCCTTTTGCAGCATCTTCTGTTGAGAACACAGCATGTTGAATAGCCCCTGAGACGAATAAAGCCGTAGCTGGGGCAAAGAAAGAAGCAGCTCCGTGGAGATCCGAGCTCTCATATATATGTATAGTGACTGAGGATCGCGACGCGTCGAGTCACGACGTCGCGCATACCCGGCCGGTTTGAGATCATAGGTTGGGATAGTAGTATCCTCCGTAACCGGAAATCTAGCTCAAGTGCGACAGAGGGATCGTTGTGGTGGATGGGTTCACCGGATGTTATGCGTGACGCGCCGCAAAAATTTAGCGCTCCACGGCACGTGCCCAGCGCAGCATTTCGAAGCCTGTCCTTCGGGGGCGCTCATCTCGCCGATGTCGTCACAGAATGTTAATGTTGCGACTATACCTGGGCAGCGAAATGACGGCTTCGCTCACTGTCTTGACTCATATTGTTCAACGGTCTTTGCCCTGTTAGACGCTCCGGATCCACTGCCGTCTTGATGATGAAGCGGTGGTATGGTGCGACCTGGATTACGCGAAGCGTGTTGACTCTATTGTATCTTTTGTTCATCTGTATCATCTTGTACCCCGCGACCGCAGAAGCAACAATAGTGCCGAGGCAAGCCAATGCCGCTTTATTTGGTGGCACCACACAGACGAGTTCGAAATCGACGTCGATTATGGAGTACACATCCAGCGTTGCCTCTGGGACGACTTCCACTGCATCCCCCCAGAATGCATCAACTTCGACGCAACCTGTTCTAGGAGCGCGAGCGACCCTGGGATTACCATCGACAGGAATGCAACGCAACGGTATCTATTTCGGAATGCTGTAAGGTTTTCATTGATCCGGTCTTTCATATTCATCGGAATTGTCAGACCGGATTGGAACTTCTACGGATCTCAACATGTTGCTACGGTGCTGGGTGCTCCTTTAGCTATCGTTGGCGATTACATCACAATATCCAAGTCGGATTTCTCTCTATCTCAGATTCGATATCATTTCCCTGTTCTGCAACAATTTGCATCGGAAACTGTGTACGCTCCCGCCATCATTCCCGGGGATGGAGTTGGAAATGTGAACTTCACTCAAGCCATGGCGGTAAGCCGGACGTTGAGAATACTCTCGCTGCGGAGCACTGATTTAAAGGATGAATCAAAGGAAGCCTTGGCAACCACCTTCCTAGACCTGAATAATGCCGGTGTAACCGTTTGTACGTCGAACAGTCCTCGTCAGCAAAAGATGCTGCTGACTTTCGAATTCTGTGTCATCTCCTAGTGTAAGGGATACGTAGATATCCCCATACTTACCATATACGGTAACACTGCCTCTAGGGTGATCGGATTGTCCGATGGACTTACACATAGCGGGTGGCTGTAGGCCACCCTTTTCTCTTATCTTTCTTTAGTATACCCGTTGTATTACTACTGGCTAGTAATACATTTGTTTAGTGTACTATTGGGAGCAAAAGGGCATTGTAAGCCCTTTCACTTTTTTTGCACTACTCCTACAATCAGAGTATATTAGAGACTAGAGTGAAAACTGCTCCGTGTTAGATCTTGGTCTCTGTATAACGGAGACCAACAAAGATATGGTGGAATGGGAACATCCCCGGAAGACCAAGGTTGGTCCTAAAGCCTCGGGACCTGGGATTGTAGGTACACCCACAACCACACAAGGCTCTTTGAGCTTTTCTGAGCCTGGGTGAAACTCAAATTGGAGTCCCCTTCAACTGAACCCAGCATACAGGGATCAGGCTGCTGGTCCCAGCGCTCCTAGGGAGCAAATGGAAACAGAGGATTCCAATATGCAATTGGACAAGGATAACTTGACCAACAACACTTCCAATAGAAGTGTAGGAAAGTTCATGGGACAGCTGATCCCCCAAGTAGACCAAGTGGGTCTAATGCTGACTCCTGTAATGCAGGAATGGATTTGTCTGGTAACAGATGAAACAATCTTAATGACAATTCATTAGAATCCAGAGAAGAGGCAGATCCCTTCTCTGAGTTGAGCCAAATGCTCGAAATTGCTGACATTTCTCAGTGCTTGATTACACAGTATCATCTGCTTGCAAACTGCAATCTGGTTAATGCTCATATGTACAATGAGATGGGCAAGCAATTGCTTTCTGTCCAATTGAACAGAATGACTCCTATTATTGAGCCAAGAGAAAGTTTGCCCACTGGATTGGGAATACAAACATTGCCCAGCTCACTGCATTTGCAACTCCCATCAAGGGAAGAGGGCAATACACTGCATTTGCAACTCCCATTGAGGGAAGAGGGCAATTTGCTGCATTTGTGACTCCTGTTGAGGGAAGATGAACCTAGAGTGGGTTCAGAAAGAGCATCCATAAAGGACAATGCAGTTACTGAGGAGGTTCATTTGAGAAGTCCTCCACATATGGAAATGAGGAAAGAGTCCTCATCATACATTCATTTTGATATGGACCAAACTGGTCCATACATACTGAAATTTCCATTTGGAGATTACACTAGTGGTTCTTATCAACAGAACCAAAAGTCCACATCATGCGAATCTGCACCATCCTCTATGTTGAGGAGTAAGACTGATCTTCTTGCAGGATTGCCAATCCCAACAACTCCTATGTGGAGGATCGAGAAGTGGTTACATGCAGCAACTGTGCCGGTAACCAATCATCTTTCCCCATTGAAGACTGGGTTCAAGCCTAAGGCTTTGAACACCTCTTATGGAGGTGAATCTGATGTAGAGAAATTCATTGAATTTCTCACAATGTTAGTTTGCACATTTTGTGCAGCCAGGGCAACTGGCCCCACTTGCAGTGATTAGCAAATCACTTATACCAGTCAATATGTGACTGGTGAAGCTCACCATTGGGTTGAGCAAAATATAGATTTAGGCCACTGGCCTAGAGAAGAATGGACATTCTCCCAAATGATGTGGGGAATGTATGGAAGATTCTTCTCTTCGGAAGAAATGATGAAAGCATACTCTGCTTTTGATTCCTTGGTACAAAGAAAAGACACTGTAGAAGTGTACAAAGGAAAGTTATTTTCCATTATGGGTAAGATGCACAAGCATCCTAATGACTTCCAAGTAAAGAGGAGGTTCCTCTTTGGTTTGGCCAAGGATATTAGCACAAAAGTGCTAGAGTTGGAATATGACATTGATACAAGCACTTTTGATGCTTTATACTTGTGAGCAATAGAGTCAGAAAGAGGACTTGACCTGTTGCAGGGACTACAGGCATATAAGAATATGTCCCGGAGTACATTCCCCAGTCTGGGATCATATGGCAATTCCTTGCCTATGAGGAGAGCAACTCCTCAGACTTACCAATTGTATCAACCAGTACAAAGTGAGTATAGGCATCCTGAGACACCTAGAGCTGGGGCAGGCCCTTCTAGGGGCCACTTGTTTGATAGGGGAGTTACTCCCCACAAAGATCCCACTCCTACTGGGAGTGGGAAGAAGGCTGCAATTCCTGGTACAACTGGGAATGCCAGGAAGGACATAGTTTGTCCTATTGATGGCAGGCCAAAGCCACCCTTGCCTGGGGGTAGTCTGTCTTGTTACTTATGTAACAAGATGGGTCATTGGGCAAATGTTTGCCCACTACATAAGAGCATGCATCATGCCACACATGAAGTAGTGGAAGACAATGATGTCCTGTATGATGATGGCATTCACGCCATACTCACCAGGATACCCCCAGATGAGAAGGAAGAGGATGATTGTCCTGCTGAGGAATTTGGTCTCCATGACCTGTTGTTAAGGCAACACAGG